TGTGTCGTTCCCACAGACGGCGCTAAATGTTGGAGCTCGGATTTGGTGAGCTTGGGTACGAAGTAGATCGGAACGGTTAGAACGAACTACAGCCAACTGCCCAGCGCCCTCTCCGAACACTCTCGAGACCTGCAAAACAAAGTTAGCACTCTGACGAGCAAGTCAGTTCTGGTCCGAGTTAACTTGCCGAGTCTACCTAGGATTGCGTACCTTGCGTTCAGGTCGGCTCGTCCTCGTAGCTCGGTTCGTAACCACTGACCTGAACAGCCCTTAGGAAAATTTCTAATTCCATCCGCACGTCAAATCGGCTTACCTCTCTTACCGTGACACGTGGCAGGTCCAAATTCGCATCCAACATAGTGACATAATTTATGACTATGAATAAATAAGGACGATAATTTATGACTATGAAAATGTGACCATTTTGTTTGCATTTATAGCAAATAATTTGTTTTCATTTTTTTTGTGTTTTTAAAGGATTTACCTTTTCTTTTTGGAGGTGATTTATAATATTGTTTCTGGTTGTATTGGTAAGATCTTCGTTTCTTATATGAAGTTTTATAAGAGGTTGGTTTATAATTCTTATTGTTCCTATAATTTTTATATTTCTTTTGTGCATAGGGAGCTTGGATTTTCTGATAACCATATTGAGCATAAAAGGATCCTAATTCTTGCCTTTGTTTAGAGCTTTCGTTCTTCATCCTACATTTAAGTTTGAGGTCTGTATATAAGGCAAGTCCTTCATTATTGATGAATTTAATTATTTCGCCATATGTTAAGATTTCAAATGGTATGGTCCCCTAATAAGTTTGTCTAATAGTCTATTGGTAAACTAGAAAGGAATTTTTCTTTCCAATAAGGATGATTACAGTCTGTGCGTATAAAGACTTTGTTTAGGAAAATGTCTTTGTATCCACCATTCTTTATGAGGTCCAATTTGGCCCTTGTATTTGGGCGGTTATTAGTTGTTTTCAAGTTTTCTTCTTTGTATTCCCTTTGTTTTCTTTCTTTTTCCATTAAGGGTAGTATTGATGCACTAAAAGGGCAGGCTTCAGTGGGAAATAAGAAACCATTATCTTCCTGTAGCGATGAAAAGATTTCAATATTAAAATTCTGTTGTTTTCAAGTGATAGCAGAGAATCTATATCTGCATTCAACATGTTTTTTTATATTAGGACTAACGTGAAATTCTCATTCCACAATAATGATTCGAACTACCCAAGATAAACAAACACCAAAGATGGTAATCACTAATCAGATTCAATGATCTTCCATGAAACTTATCAGAGCGCGGGAATTTGTTTATTAATTTTGATTCAAAAACCCTAAACTAGAAAAAGAATAAATATTCCAAAGTTGCAACCACCATACCATAGAGATCGATATCAAAATTTTCTAAAACAATCCAGAAATCAATATGAGATAAGACACCACCATCTTATTCAAAATAATTGCTGCAGGAGGAGCATGAAAAAAAGGCATAATTGAGTAGACAAACGCACAAACCTGGCGGACTTGGACTACCACTTTGGGAAGAATGCCTTTGTATTCACATAACATTCCCACCTATCACATGGCACGTGGAGCATTGAGGAAAAATAATAGAACTAGACGAGTCCATACGAAGATGAATTATAACATGTGTGCTAAGACCAACACAATCAAACCCAAGTCAAACGAGAATCAGTTAAACGAGAGATCTCTCTCACGTTAAGAAACAAATGCCCTTCTTCGACTAGATGTTCTTTTGAGAGTATGTAATATAGGTCCAAAAAGTTCCAAACTTATGGTGATGCCCAAAAGCCAAGCCTAGGTGTAAGGTTTGGGCAACAATAGACAATTGTGCTTTGATGGAAAGGAGATTTTTCGTTTACTGTGGCTATCATGATATCTTGAACAATTTTCAATTTTAATTTAATTGCTAAAGGATGTCTTCTCTTTTTTATGTTTCAAGATTCAAGATAACTATTTAAGAAAATATTTAGATTCAAGGGAAAAGTCAAAATAAAATAAACAAAAACTAAAAGATACTTACAAGAATAACAGATCAAACAGGAAACTTGACATGCTTAACCAATGTAAAAAGATTTATAAAGTAGTAAGGGAAAAAAATTATAAATAAAAAATAAATAAATATCAGGATTCAAAAAGTAAACATGAATTTTTGAGCATGCAAATGCGTCAAATTTCAAAAGTACAATTTAAAATGCAATGCGAATTTAGCATACAAAAAACATTTGGCTCCTCAATTGGTCTGTATGATTCTTGTCTAACGTTCTGAAAAGAAAAATCCAGTGTCCACTAATCAGTTCAGAATTTAGAAAAATAAACGTTAAAAGATATATATGAGATTTCTGCCTTACAATAATTAAACAAAGCAAGAGACGCACCTTTCCTTGGTAGTTATTGCAGTAGTGATTGAAAAAATCATTTATATATGTAAGAAAGGTGTAGACAAAAATTAAAATACTTCATTTCAATCATTAGAAGTAGGATAAAAGAATGAATGTCATATGAATATTGTTATTCTACAACACGTAAACATCAGAAAACTACTAAATTCTAGCAAATCGGCTACATGGACTGCATTGTATACATACAACAATAGATGAACCACCTTACCTCGATTTGAATGAAAGCCCAAAACTATTGACTGCCTGTATTGTTGGGACAATGGAGCCACAGATGACCCGTGTCCGAAAAGAATTTTCAAACACTACTACCAATTCCTACAAGTAGGATATTATTGTCTTATAAGGATTACAATATTGTTTTCCTATAAGGATTGAGATATTTGACCTCTTATAAATAGATCCCCTCGGTTAAGGTTTCATTTATACAGAATCGAAATAAGCGAGAATTAAGTGGTCGTGAGCAGTGTGTGAAAAAAAGAGTTTGTATCTCGTGGGTTTAGTGAGGGTATTTTCAATTGTCTAATTCTAGGTAGCCATTGTTAGGGTACTTAGAAGCAAAATAGTAATATCTTGAGTGAGATCTCCATTATAATATTCTCAACTATAATTGAACCTGCTTTTTCGCAAAAGACGGGACGTAGTCCCAAGATAGGGGCGAACTAGTATAATCCCTGTGGTGTTAAGCTTTTCTATTCATATATGTTATTCGTTTGTTATTGTTACTTACTTATCTGTTTTTAGTCTCTAGAAGGAGAAAATCAAATAGTTCCTGTTTGAAGACCTTACAAATTTATCTCTATTTTTTTTGTAACAAGATACCTTCAACAAGAAAGGGATTTTAACATCTGGATAATGTGGAACAAACTTTTGTTCTTTTTTTTTTTGTGGTAAGAAACAAGTATTTCAATTGGACAAAATTTTCGTTCACGTGAATGTAATGAGATCATATTGTGTATGATAAAGTGATGGGTCGAAAAACCTGGGACCCAAGGAACCTTTAAACTATAAATTGTTCCGAAACAATATACTTTTACAGACCCTAGGTTCTGCACACTATAAAGGGCCAAAGAAAAATAAAAATTACATTCTATCCATTTTCAAATCAATTCTCAAATTTTATTATGAAAATTGAAAAGTTTTGGTGTAAAACCAGAGGGTGAAAACTTTATTGATTTCAGAATGCCTAAAACAGAAGGGAGAGAGGCCTTTTAAAGGCTACTGAAAGGGAAGGGAAAGCTTGGAACAAACTAACAACCTTAACTAACCTCAACTGAAAACAAATAACTAAAGAAACTACTTAAAACCAAATAAACCAACCGAAGGTTACATCAAGTTTCCTCTCTCATATTATGAAAATTGAAATGAAACGTAATATAGTGGAGAAGAAGCTTACAAAAATAGCAAAGAAGAGAGAAAAAAAATGGGTTATTGGGTGGAGTAGATTTTTTCCCACAGATGATCTATGATTTCTTAACAAAGATAATTTGGAACATACCACTGTCTTATCCGCATCACATCAGTTCCATGCTGCTTTGATGGTATCTTATTCATTTGTTCAATGACAATATTCACATGGGACCAGTTCTAGTTTTCATTGAAGAAAGTTTAGAGTGATTACGTAGCATAAAGCACATAAACAAAGATTCTAATTTAATAGCAAAGTACCTGCATTGCTATTATATCTGCATGATCAATGATTAAGACCTGTTCATTGAAGTATAATCTTCATTTAAGCAAAGAGGAGCTATACATGAATACACTTATAGCACAGAAACATTACCTCAATGGAAGAAAGATAATCAACATCTTTCTCCTTGTTTTTCTCTGTTTCATCAATTAGTTCCTGACAAAGAGTGTTGTCAGTGCATAAATTATAAATACTTTTCATATAGAAGCCCTGTCAGAAATAAATTGTGCATTTCCAACTTAATAGAAAGATGCCAAAATATATCCAGCCACCCTAAATATATCAACCACTAATACTAATGGCTCACCGGCTTCTACATTTTTGGCGACAATATAATTGGTAGGGTCCATTTTCACAGTTAATATTTGAAAGTAAGTAGACTCTCATATTATGAGCATGAATATTATGATCATGAAAATGTTTACAAATTCACAATACTACAAAATGATCAATGTATGAGTATATCCCCTTAAGGTTAATGAAGAAAGAACTCACTGTAATCAGACCAAGGGGAGAAGCAACAACTACGTCTGATGAATAGAAATCACTGAATAACTTAATGTTCTTCCTACAAAACAATTGATACAATTAAGTTGAATTTATTAATAAACAAATTTACAATTTCAAATTAACACATTCGATAGGAGTGATGCAAAGATGAATGACGATCCTCTACATTTCTATAACATATAAAGGATGATTATCAACTAAAACGGAAATATGAGTTTGCTTAAAACTTATTCAAAGTTAATTTGGACTTTGTTGGGTACGAATTCTGGCCTGCCACGTGTCATACTCGAAGAGGTGAGTTGAATTAACACGCAAGCGAAATATAGGAGTAGACTCCAAATCGCTTAGGTCGGCGGTCAGGGTAGGACCTGCGAGGCCGAGCCGACCTTAAGTGAAGTCTGTAACGTTGTCTCTTCCAAACCCGACAACACGCTGCATTTTTAGGATGTGTAGTTCATGTCGGGCCCAGTTTCTATAAATAGAAACCCTTGCCTTAAATGCAAGGTACGCAATCCTAGTTAAAATCGGTAAATTAGCTCGGACTAGAACTAACTTGCTCGTCAGAGTGCTAACTTTGTTTTGCAGGTCTCGTGAGTGCTCTGGGAAAGTGTTGGACATCGGTCAATAGCTCATCTTGTACGTTCTGATCTACTACCTGTCCGAGCTCAACGATTTTGGGCTCAAACATTTGGCGTCGTCTATGGGAAGAACATACTTGGAAGTCAGTCTTGCTTTTTGCAATCTGAGCTAATGGCCCAAACCCGCTCCCAGTAGTCGTGATCTCAACTTATCCGCTCTCCAAGGAGGAATGCCGCCACTTCCCATGCCCATCCTTGCCTTACATACTCTCAGGTGGCCGGGACTCCTGTCATCGAGTGACAGCCTCAGGACGCCTTAGAACAGTTTCTACCGCTACAGCCTCAAAGGAACGGGTTGCCGCCCCATGTTCCTCGTCTCCGCAGCTAGGGGAACACAGGTGCGCGTTCCAGGGCAAGCGCCGATGCG